ACAACAACAAAGCTGATATCTGAGTCATCAAGAGTCCCAGGACAAAGAGTTGGAAACAGCCTTGGTCCCAAGACTGCAAGCCGCCTCTGTGTTGAGGAGGTGGGAGTTAAGTATACATTTATTTTTACTGTGATTGTTCAGGACCACACTTTACAAAATGCCTTGTTTCCTTTACTGTTGTTTTGGAAAGGAAAGTTTTATTAAAATTGTTTTAGTTTTGAATACAGAGTAGTTCTATTAATTACGACTAATTTTGGAAAACTCTTGAGCTTTCATTTAACTGTTTGCCAAAACCTTCCGAAGTAAAGTGATATTCAAAGACAGTTATTAGACCAGATGTCTTAAAGACATTTCTGGGGTATTTACATTTGAAGATTCCATATTAATGAATGTCTGACTTAAATTCTAACCAAAAACTGTAACGTTATTCTTCGTATATTTTCGTTATAAGGATTAACAACCTTAGCTGCAGACAAATAAAATATTTAAGCTATTTATTTTAAAAAAAAAAGGTAGAGCTGAAGAAAAATGTGCATAATGGAGGAAAATGCCCCCAAATGTGCAAACAACTTAAATCTATAGATGCAAAAACAGAGATGAAGCAAAAATAAGCTCATTGATCACTGCACAGGCAACTGGAATAAAGGAAAGGTATTTAAAAAGAGGTAAATATATAGATAGCTGCTAGAATAAAGCATATAAGCATATTAAATATAAGATGATTATAGGATTAAAATTAAACTCTTGTGTTAGGGTTGCACACAGGGCTTTGTCTGCACGAGGCAAGCACTTTACAACTATGCAACAACATCCTGCGTGGAGCCCTCAATTAGCTTCTTAAATAAAAGCCAACTCTACAACTAAGGGCATACCCTATACCAAATAAACAAGAAAAAGAAAGTAGAGGTTGCAATTCTGGTAAGAGAACAGTAGCTAAGAATCAATGCAAAAGATATTTTATGACATGAAACTAATAAAGATACAAATGTCTATTCACCAAATAATACTGCAACTGCCATTATAAAATAGATAATATACAAGAATACTTCAAAAAGCTGGAGAAGTTTGTTCTGTTACTGTTCTTTTGTTTTTTGTTTTTTTCTTTTTTGGTTTGTTGAGACAGGGTTTTCTGTGTAACCACTGTGGCTGTCCTGGAACTCTCTCTGTAGACCAGGCTGGTCTGGAACTCTGAGATCTGCCTGTCTCTGCCTGTCTCTGCCTCCCGAGTGCTGGGATTAAATGTGTGAGGCACCACTGCCCTGCCTCTGTTATTGTTTTTTTTAGACAGGGTCTCTAAGGCTGGCCTTAAATTCCTTATCCTCCTCCCTTTAGCTACCAGTGTTGGGATTACAGGCATCTGCCACCAATGCCTAGCAATTAGGAAATTTAACACACTACTTTCAGTAACCAGGAGATCAAACCAATAAAGAAACAGCCATCGGGGGCTCTAGATTTGTAACCTATATTGAACTTTGTATCCTGGTGTATCCTTTTGATGGGTAATGACAAGCATGAGTGTGAACAGCTTTCTGAGTCATGAGTCATTCTACTAAGTCATCAAGCGCAAAGTGGTCTTTGGGGCGCCCAAGTCCTCTGTCACTAAATACCAAGTCTTGGCACATAAATGATCTGCTAAAATTGATAACTTTCCTTACATTACTAGTAAAAGAGGCTAGGCTGGTGTGAGATGTTATGTGACACTGCATTGTCCACGAACACATTTAAACAGGTGAGAAAGCCAGATACTCTAGCATTACAATCGCAAATTAACTTCCAGCAACAAAACACATAAACAAACTGGCTCTCTGGATTGTCCTGCGATCTTCCACAGTAGGTGTGGTTTGATTTCTGATGCCTCATAACAGACTACTAATGGTATAAACCCATCTAACTTTCCATAATCCCATCTGACCGCCTTCATTCTCACTAGTTACCATCTCACACATCCTGGTGCCATGGACCTCTTCCTGCTGATAGTTGTGTTGCCATATACATCCTAAAATAGAAGTAAGAAACCTGGTATTCCTCATTTCTTTTCTCTCATCACACATATCAAATGCAGCAAACTTTCAATCTAAGCATACTTAAAGTCTCCCACACTTTCATATTTCCCAATCCTCAGCTTTAGCATTGGCTAATTTTCTCCTGTGTCTACCAAAAATGCACTACCAATCTGCCTATAACTCTACAATTCCCTAAAATCTGTACTTTCCTTACAAAATGTGAACTATGAATCCAGAATAATTTCAACCACTAATTCCTAATTTTGCTATCACCAATATAAAAAGACTAAGAGTCTTAATATTTTATCCAAGGCCCTGTATGACCTATAATCTGTTTGATCTCTGCCTTTATCAATTCAAATTTTATGTGTTTATTGCTCTGATTTAAAGGGAAAAAAATAGCAGGTTCATGAAAGGAGCCAACATAAGAATGTCTTTCAGAACTAGTTTTGCTAACTAGGAAAGAGAACAAGAAAGTTTCACAACCACAAATGGTGTGTGTGTGTGCGCACGCGTGCGTGCATGCACACTTAATTGGGCGTTGAAGTGGGAATGCATTAGAAGGGACAGAGCACAGGCGATCATGATGGGACCTTGAAAAAAGGCAGCCTCCCTGCTTTAGTTCCCAAAGGAGTCTCAGTAGGAGAGTTAAAGGACAAATGACAGGGGTTCTGGAGCATGGGGCCTTAACAAGGGAGTTTCTGATTCTTATAGGTTGCCAGAGAGCGGACAGACTTCCTATCATGTGACCCACTTTGGTGGGGCCTGTGCACACAGGCAGGCACTAGGCAGGACCACAAGCTTCTCTTGCAGTTGCTAGCGAAGGGTGCTAAGGCTGCTTTCTTACCAACTTCCCACTGGGGTGGCCAGTAGGAGGTTTACTTTCACCCCAGGCCTGAGACATAGCAGGTGTCTGTCAGTACTTTGGTCTAAGAAGTGGACAGCAGATTTCAGGGAGAGAGGGAGACAGCCACAGGGTCTGTGATCTAATATCTGTTATACTTACACCACTTTGTTGGTTTTCCTCCCTTGCTTCTAAACTTCAAACACAAAGAATTTCGGGCTGAATTTTAGCACTTTCTAGAATACAGCCTTTCCTATGAAATCTTATTCAATGTCTAGGTTTTTATCAGTCCCTCATATTCTGCAAATTTTTAATCTATGCTGGAAAATACTCACAGAAAAGTTCTATAATTCTGGTCACTTTCCTTTCCTTAGCTGTGCCTATTAGCTGTGTTCAAGTTTTCATCAAGTTCAAGTCTATTTTAAGAAAATAGTTCTGCTTACATAAAACTTCCCTACTATAAGTCATACATTTTCTTAGCTGTCTGTTACACGTATCAATTCTCACTTATCCATCTGAAAACCTTCTATAAACTTCACTCATTACCATGCAAAGCCCAAAGTTTCTAAACACAGGACCCAAGACTGCAGATAAACTCCCATCAAACTTTTGAGTCACTGTCTACTTGTACTCTCTAAAACCTCAAGGTATTCAAGTTCTCAATACCCTTCCTGGTGTTCCTGAAATGATGTTCAACCTGACAAAAACAAAAACAAACAAACAAAAACAAAACCTACTAGTCAACTCTATAACTTAGACAGAAATACCATCTCATAGAACTTTATAAATTAAACAAGTTGATATATATTATGGCAAGTGCAAAAAATAGTCTTCTATACATTTTAAACCAAAGATAGGCATCATCTCGACCACTCCTGCCATAATTACCTTGTACTTACAATGCTAGAAGTACTTCATTTTGTTGTGGGTTTTGTTTTCTTTTGGAATAAGTCTCACTAACTCAGGCTGGCCTTGAACTCCTGCTCCTACTCTCCCTCCCAAGCAGAAGGATTACAGGTGCAAACCACCACACATGGCTCTTATATTGTTCACTGCATATGTTACTTCCTAGGTATTACTTTTAAAGTTGCCAAATAAAATCATACGGACTTCCATAGTTAGTACTCTGGCTATTTTTCTATTATACTTTCTTGTTTCTTTTTACACCATGTTGTGTGTTTGTGAGATCATGGTAGAGATCATGGACCTAGCTTTAATTCTGTCATGGCAATTATTTATTATGACCATAATGGTTCATAAAATTTTTACCATTTTATAGATAGTTGTGGTGTGGGAAGTTCTTCTGTATATGTGTTGCTTTTACTGATTAATAAAGAAGCTGCTTTCAGCCAATGACTTAGCAGAAGATAGCAAGGCTAAAAGAGATATGGAGAGAGAGAAGGAGAAGTCAGTGAGAAGCCATGGAACAGCCAGAAGAGAAAGAACCACCGACTGGAACCTTGCTAGTAGGCCACAAGCCTCATGGTAAAATACAAAATAAGAGGAATGGGTTATTTTAAGATAGAAGAATTAGCCAGAAATATGCTTAAGCTATTGGCCAAACTGTGTGATTATTTCGAGTCAGGGAAGTCGGGAAATGAACTAGCAGCATCCAACAACCTAATTGTGCTTTAAAATTCACTACAGCAGACCCCCGTGGGGACAAGCTATAATACCCACATGGATGCCTACTGTGCTACAGCACAGCACAGAAATACTTACATATATAGATAGGTGTATGTGTTTTCTTATTCATAGATATTAGATAGTTTAATTCACAAATTAGGCAGATTAATAAATTGACAAAAACTAATGATAAAATAGAGCAAAGATAGGCATATACTACAAAATTATTTTAAATATATTAATAAATTATTCTAAAGTTGTTCGTTTAATATTTTAAGACTACAACTGACTACAGGTGACTAAAACTTTGGAAAGTGAAACCACAGAAAGAGATTGCTGTTCTTAATCACTTCAGGGACCAACAAATCAGCATACTTGCTGGAAGATTAAAAACAAAAATTACATCAATCTGATTTAAACTTACTCTCATTCTCCACCCCTTGCCCCACTATTCTTTAGCACTGCTTTTAGAAAACCCTTCTGGTAGCATCAAGAGACAAACCCCACAGTGACACCACTTCACTCACATTTATGTCCGTGTGGTATATGAGAACACATAGAGCTGGCAAAATCTGAGGAAAGAAGATAAACAGTCATGCTAGTTGATGGAAATGTCTTTATAAAAACAAATAATGACACAAAAAACAGTAACTACTTAAAATGTGAAATTTGTTTGAATATCTAATTTAATAAATTCAATTTGAAAATCAAAAACGTATTTCAAATGTTTAAAAGATCCAAATAAATCTAACAAAGATTAATACTCCTTAAAAGAAAGTCAAGTATTTTCAGAAACCTTATTTATGGCATAAAACGTCAGGTGAGAAGAATGGAGATGTTAGCATACAGGCATACATTGTAGTTACAAGAAATTTCCTTTCACAGTCATCATCGTCTAAATTTTTATTCAATAAGATGCTGGAGTAAAGTTAGTAAAACACTAACTTTAGTCAGGAAGATTACAACCAGCTGGGCAGTGGTGGTGCACACCTTTAATCCCAGCACTTAGGAGGCAGAGGCAGGTGGATCTCTGTGAATTTGAGACCAGCCTGGTCTACAAGAGCTAGGACTGTTACACAGAGAAACCCTGTCTCAAGAAACAAAAACAAAAACAATTACAACCAGTGCAAGGTATAGGGTTTGTTTGCTGACCCCTGGGTCTAACAGATCTTCTACAAACCTAGAGCACCTGAGTAATGGCTGTTAGGCACTCACACTAAGAATAGACACTAGATAAAGACACAGCTTATAAAGATAGAGAGTCAATGACTCTCTAAACAGTCGAGCCAATAAAGGTTTTAAAGGACTTCTAAATTTTAAAGTAGAGCACATTTCTAAGAACACCAATTTTTTCAGAATTCAATGGACTGAATGCAAATTAACTCAAATTATTTGCATATTTCTTAGCATTAAATCCAAAAAGTAGTACAGCAAAACAGGGCTTCCTCCCTCCCCACTTATTTGAATTTGTGTTTTCTCTTCATGGAAACAGTCATGAAAAAATACATTAAATGGACTGGCATTCTTCTTGCTACTGTATAGCACTTAACTCTGACATATGGTACGTTATACTTAAAAACAGAAGAATTTTCAATAAAATCAGTATATGCTCATTATATATTTCCTGTGCATGAATACCTAAAGCATAATCAGGGAGATAAGCCATCTCGCCTTTACAATTCTGCATTTACCTCCTGAACTGTCTCCATAGGCGGTGGGGGGTCCTTATTCCTGCAGAGATTGACAATGACCCATGTGACGTTCCGAAGGAAGGTGATGGGAATGGAGGGATTGATGAAGGACAGAAGAGGTTTGACAACTCCCAGTGATATGACATAATCTCTACATTGAGGACCATCACCTACAGAAATGAAAATTGTATTTAAAAAAAAATTACAATCAGGATGGGAAAGTCTGAAATGTGTGCAATGGCTCATGTTGGGACACTGATGCTCTATGTTTCCTCACCATAGTCAGACATCAAGTGCTGCTTTCCATGATTTTGATTTGGGGAACACAAATTTAACCACTACCAACACAAATTATATATTCCTTTTACACTTAAGAACCACCTTACAAATGTTTATGAATACAGTCAACTCATATGAAATTCAGAGGAAACATAGTGTGTAATGACTATGCCAATGTAGGAAAAAAAGTTAATTTAAGATTTTCAACTAAAGCCTTTTCAAATCCAAATTCAGCTTACCTATAATGTTTCCCAAAGCCCACACCGCTTGTTCACAGACATTCTGATGTGGGGAATGGAGGAGTCGCAGAAAAAGGGGCACTGCATCTGTGTGTAATAAAAACTCAGTTATCTGACGTGGTCACAGATTTCTACCCAAGCAAGTCAATAAAGTAGTCACAGGTCAGACACACTATAGCTGTCCAACTACAGTTCACTGTATAAACAGGGCAAGGATACATAAAAATAACTAATTTCAGTACTTTTAACCTGGTAATACTTTAACAATAAAGTACCAAACAGAGCCCAAAGCATACTACTGATGCCATCAACTAAAAAAAAAAAAAAGCACAAAATCTTCCCTATATTTAATTTTTTAAGTTCCCATCCCAAACATGTATCCTGAAATCATCATACTTATTTTCAATAAAATTCCTCAGAACCAACTAACCAGATTTACCAAGTAATGTAAAATAACCATATTTCTTATTCTTTCTATCTTCATTTTTATGTGTATGGGTGTTTGGCGTATATGTATATCTGTGTACCACAAGTGTCTGTGGAAGCCAGAAGAGGGTGTTTGATGCCCTAGAACTAGAGTTAAAGATTGCTGCGAGCTACTATGTATGTGTGTGCTAGGAAAGGATTCCCTGGGAGAGCAGGCAGTGATCTTAACACCTCTCTCGTCTCTAAATTTCTTATTCCATTAAACCCTACACATTATCACCATAACCAACCTCAAGATAAGTTCACCTGTTCTTAAACTTTCTACTCTTGTGCCAGCTCCAGGATATTTAGGCTTTACCTGTACACTACTAAAACTTACTAGGCCTTTTTGTTAAAAAAAATTCATACTTTAAAAGAATATATCACTGCTAAGTATATATTACTTTTTAGCACTTTTGCAGAACTACATGTTCATCAACCCTCGAAGAGCTTTCCGATCTCTAGCAATCACTAACCACTTACTATTCTATTATTCAGAACCCCAGAACCAGGCAAACATTAAATAGCTGCCTTTTCTGTTTATACATTTCAGAGAATCACACATACTGATTTCTTTCATTATGTGACATTTTTTTTAAAGATTTATTTATTACGTATAGAGTGTTCTGCCTGCATGTATCCCGGCAGGCCAGAAGAGGGCACTAAATCTCATTACAGATGGTTGTGAACACATGTGGTTGCTGGGAATGAACTCAGGGCCTTTGAAAGAGCAGGCAATGCTCTTAACCACTGAGCCATCTCTCCAGCCCCCACTATGTGACTTTCAAGTGCGCCTCTAATGTTACAGGTACCGATGCTTTATTCTTCTAGACTGTTAAACAGTATTCTGTTGCACACATTTTATCGATGCATTAATAGAGGACTTCTGAATCACTATGACTGATGCTGCTGTGAACACCTGTCACCTGTGCACCCATCACTGTATGCATGCTTTCTCTCTCCATTTCATCTAGGTGTAGAACTGGGGACACATGGTGAACTCCATGAGGAGCTTTTAAAAACTAATATTCAAAGCATTTACATTTCCACCACTGATAAATTGTTTATAATGAAAATCAAACGCTGTAGTTAACCTTACCTCCTAGTTTCTATTAAAAACTTGTTCATAGCCAGGCAGTGGTGGCGCATGTCTTTAATCCCAGCACTCGGGAGGCAGGGGCAGGTTGATTTCTTTAAGGCCACCCTGGTCTATATAACAAGTTTCAAGTTAGCCAAGGCTACACAGTGAGGATGTGTGTAGTGGCATATTATTTACGACCAGAGGCAAAGCTAAAGCCACTAGAGGTCAGGCAACGGTGACACACAACCTTAATCCCAGGATTTGGGAGATGAATCTCTGAGTTCAAGGCCACCCTAGGCTACACAAGATCAATGCAGAAACAAATCCAGGTGGTGCCCTTAATCCCAGCACTAGAGGGAATAAATCTGCGGTCACCCAGCCTTGGTAAAGGTAAGACTTTTAGTGACTTGGCTATTTTTGCTTTTCTGGTTTTTAGGTTGAACCCCAATATCAGTATTCATGATACAGACCTATCTTACAATTCAAAAACAATTTTTTAATTAGTATATATAAACCAGGTCTAACACCTGTAATCCCAGAACTTATAACACTCAAGCAGGAGTATCCTGAGTGTAAGGTCAGCTGGGGACTATATAGAAAGCTCAAAGACAGACCTGGCTACACAGCAAGACCCTGCCCTGCCCAACCCCCAAAAAAGTATATGCCATAACATGAAAAGTCTTAAGCTACTCAGCACACTCAGAAAGTAGTATTTAAAACAAGACTTTTCAGTCCTTATTAGGGGATAGTCTCCACCCTGAAAGATAATAGTCCATTTTTTTTTTGGGTCCAAAGTAAGAATTATTTTATGACAGTTTAATACTGAAGGAAAAGAAATCATTAAAGTAACATAAAAACTTATACTGTAACTTTAAAATATTCTGAGATGAAATTCAGTCTTTAATATAAAACCCTGTGTCATCATTAAAAAAGAAAGATTTGACTTACTAGACTGTACAACAGCTTGAGTCTGTGCAGAGGTTCCTGATGCTATATTAGTTAGTGCCCAAGCAGCTTCAAACTGTAATGAAGGACTGTTAAAAAACAAAATAATCCTTTTAGACATGGAACTATCACCGTAACTTATAAGCCTCAAATCCACACAAGCACCATACCCGATTTTTCAATTTCACTTGTTATATTCATCACTGGCTGCCACCTCTACCTAAGCATCTGACTGCTTCTCAGTTACTACAAACCTGCCTTCTTTATGTCCACTGATGGTTGCAATACTTAGCCAATTATGTCTCATGACTCTTCCTCAACATTCCTAGCCTTAGAGAGTAACCCACTATCACTGTATTAGCCAAAGTTCTCGCATCAGGTCAATACCAGCTGCGCCCTCCAGACTACTCACAACTGGGACCCTCACCTGAGTACACTATCATTTGGGTTACATTACTAACTGTAGTTATTAAAGCCTGTATAGTTAGTTCTACAGCTAAAGCATTATGATCTGAGACAGTCATGGAAGAGCTAACAAAGTAAAAATCAAGTTCACTGTTCTAAATTTTAATTTAATCGGCAGGCACTGACACTCTATGCTAAAAAGGGTATCATGGGTGGGATGATATGTATGGACAAGAAATGGGGCTAGAAAGCTGAAGTTAAGGATGAACAAAAATAAAACTGTGATCACGTAAATGTTGGTGGGATATGGTGACTATCTCAAATGTTCTAGGGTTCACAACTTGAAATTTATTCTGCTGAGAAGAGTAAAGCCAGGCATAGTGACACACACCTTTAATCCCAGCATTTGGGAGACAAGTGTAACTTTGTGAATTGGAAGCTAGCCTGGTCCACATAGTAAGCTCCAAGTGAGCCAGGGCGACACAATGAAGACCCTGTAGAAAGAAAGGAAAGAGAGAGAGAGACAGAGAGAGAGAGAGACAGAGAGAGAGAGAGACACAGAGAGAGAGACAGAGAGAGAGAGACAGAGAGAGAGATACACAGAGAGAGAGAGACAGAGAGAGAGAGAGAGAGAAGGGGAGAGAGAGACTGACAATCAGAAGAAAGGAAAGTAATGGAAAAAAATAAAAACAGGTGCAATTTTAGATACAAGCAAGAGAGGGGCAGGGGGAGAATGATAAGTTCATGGACTGCCTGAGCTACAGAGAAATTCAAAATGGCCTGCCCAGGTCAATGAACAAAACTACAACTCAAAAGTAAAAACAGAAGCAACAGCTAGAGATACAGTCCAGTGGCAGAGTACTGCCTGCCTGGTATAAGGATCCAGTAGGGGCATAGGAGGATGGGGGTCAGAGTCAGAGTCAACAGCATGTAAAATGGATAAAAGAGGTTAAAGGCTTCTACAGGAGAGGTCTGTTAAAAAGAAGTAACAAAGATAGAAGAATATAATGTCAGAAACAGTGGAATAGGAAGACATATAGCCAAAAATATAAAATAAAAAAGAAATGAGCTCAAAACTAGGGAATGAGAAGAAAAATCTCTATACAAACATGGAAGTAAGGAAAACAAATGATCAGCTTTAGCAGCAGTGCAGATGGAAAATACCTGTTACGTGCCATAAAGAGCAAGTAGAAAACGGAGCAGACGGAGCTGACCGGATCAATTCTGGCAGAAAGCAGGGAATGAGAAGGTAGGAAAAGCAGACTGGGGAGTGGACATTAACAGGATGCTGTAACAGGAAGCAACAAACAATCTAGACTTCCCTAACTAGAATGGGAGGAATTAGCAAACTCCTGAGGAGAACTTAGGAAACACTGGAAACGGGGGCCATGAATGGAAAATGGGAAGATACAAAAAGTAAAATTTCAAGGCCAAGGAAAGTCTTCTAAAGGGTCATATGGGAAAAAAGAAGAGAGAGAAAAAGATATAAAAACAGCTGAATGAAGCAAATAAACAATGTAGAATATTTTGTTTAAATTGTGTACATTTTCTCACAGCCACCTAATTTTTACAGATGGGATGACTGAGGCTCAAAAGTCAGTTGGATTCTGGTCAACAACAAGTCTAGATTTAGACCAGGATCTCTATGGCTCTGACGTCTAACATGCCTTTTACACTGTAACACAGCTTTCCATGAGAAACCATAAAGTCATTATCTAAAAGCACTGGCAATTTTCTATTCATGACTTGGGCGATGGCTCTGAAATTATTCATTAAGTTGTTTATATTTTGTCCTATTTTTTGTTTGTTTGTTTCCTAGACACACTCCCACAAACCAATGCCAAAGGCTATATCAAATAGACAGGAATGGAAGGACCAGAGCCAGGAACCAAGAACAAAAAAGGAGCCTTGCTGGCAGATGTAAGATGGAATTTAATCTTTTAAACAGCTGGAATAAAAGTTATCTTTACTTTCTGCTATGGAAAATATACGGCAGTTTTTTTAAGGTGTTAAGTATAGTGACACATCTTAATCAAAGTATCTCTTAATCCCAAAGAGACTGAGACTTTCCAGACCTCACAGCTCAATTGATAATCCCCCCTGAGATCACTTAAGACGGTGTACTTAACCAGCTACCCTTTTAGGAGTTCTGCATCTTTAAATTTAATTTGCCTTTAAGAGAACAATGTAACCAGCCTTACTAGGCCTTGGATTGTTCATGCAATCAGCAACTTTTACAACTTAAGCTAATGCATAGCTTTAATCTTAGTATTCCTCCATGCTCCTGACCCAGAATTGTGTGTGTGTGTGTGTGTGTGTGTGTGTGTGTGTGGTATCACTTGCTGAAAACACCAGACAGATTTAGAAGCAACCTTATATGACAAATATCCACCATAAATGTTGAAAACAATTTGTGGATATAGCTTGATCATGTGTTTGCAGTATTGTTTGCCTGAGTTAGTTGAATTCCCCATCCCTTTCTCAACGCCCTGTTTTCTGTGCTGACCAATACAGAGCAAAAGTCATTTGTTAGGAACAGACACAAGGATAGGGGCATATTCAGACACATATAGATCAGACAGGCAACAGGGACAAATCAGACCCATACAAGAGGTAGATTACAGATGGGCCAGCAACCACAGTATACAGATAGATGAAAGACACAGGAAGAATATTGGAAATAGAAATTTGGGCTTACTCTTTCACAAGTTAATCTAAAAGGAAGTGGCTTTGTTTTCATTCCCTATAGCACCATCATTGCATTTTAATGTTTGCTGAGGTTATCTTCAACGCATTAACAGACACAGTTAAGGCCTAGAGGTAGAGGGAGGATTGCAGCTACTGTGGAAGCATAAGGTGTTTGCAGTATTGTTTGCCTGAGTTAGTTGAATACAACTAACAAATACAAAAAGTCCTTATCGGCAGCACTTTTATTTTTATTTAATCAACTAAAACTTTCTTGGATATTTAGCAAAAAAACTTTTTCAGGCCATATGTTCTAGATGCAAAAATAGTATTTGTTTTAAAGAATTATGGGGTTCAAACCAAGTTAATTCAAACTGAAGGAGCTTAATGCACAGCCCTGAGAAATGTCTATGTACAAATGGACTGCCCTCCCTTCTCTTCTGGGTAAGCAGCGCTCCCTCGCATGATACGGGACAACTAACCATGGCTGGAGTGTACTACCCAGAGGATCGGTGATCTGCGGGTCTATTCCCAGGGTAAGGAAGAGCCACATGGTTCTGGACATCATTCATGCTGACTAGTCATGAGGCTAATCTATATATAGAATCATAAGCAAATGGTGCCTCAAATACAATTTGTGATGTTTAAAATACCATCAGAGAATAAGAAAATTACATAGAAATGTATGACAATTTAAAGAGTATAGCACCTGCTATATATATATATATATAAAGAATATATAGCACCTGCTCAAGGCTTGAGTTTTTTCTACAGTACCTCAAAACAAAACAAATCCAAGCTCAGTGAGAGCAAACCACCACCAAACCATTTAGTAAAATACCAATTTTAAATTTAAATTAACTGGAAAAAGTGAGCAGGCAAATCCAGACTTACTTATCATCCCTTTCTAGACATTTGACTAGAATTGGTAAAATCCCAGATTTTATTAGGTCATCAATTGGTGGATTTCTGTCACTGGATAATAGTTTCCTATAAAAAGAAACATAAGATTAATATTTGTTGTAGCTCTCAAACTATGAACATAAATATACTCTACTTCCCCACTTCTGCACAGTCAGCTCCAACACCATAAGGTGCAGATCAGCTCTTACCTTGCTGCCTGGACAGCACTCAACTGGACTACAGGGTTATCACTTGTAGCATTCTGCAACAACAAGTGTATATTTCAGACATTTATAAAAAAAAAAAAAACTTATTTAAAACCAATTCAGGATGGTAGTATTAAATTAATAACTTACCTGCAATATAGCTTCTAGTGTTACATTTTGCTTAAAAAGAAAGAAAGATAGTTCAGCAGAGAATATTAACAAAACTATTTATTAGTCTATCAGGTTATGAATTACTATGCCTTGTAATTATCACTATCTGATTTTTGTTAAATTTGAAAATAACATCCCCTGGTCATGACGAAAGTATTTACAGACACATTATAAAAACAAGGGCAAGACCAGCCTGGTCTACAAGAGCTAGTTCCAGGACAGGCTCCAAAACCACAGAGAAACACTGTCTCGAAAAACCAAAAAAAAAAAAAAAAAAAAAAAACAAGGGCAAGACTTACTGCTTTAAAATCAGCATCGACATCTGAATCTTCTAAGCTTTCTTCCTGGGGAACATTTCTCTTTTTCAGTAAGTGTTCATCTCTTTTGTTCTGAAAGGTAATAGATAAATGTTTAAGAGCTCATGAAGGCTGTTGTTAATAAAATTGTATTTGGTGCCGAATTAATTAACAATGAACTTGTTTAATTCCACTGTTTCTGTGCCATCTCCATCCCCAGCTCTTCAAGCACCAAGTGTTCTGACCAACACTCTAAGGGTACTTGAGGTACAGAACTATGCATCAAGCAGTTTTCATCTACCTACTGCTAACAGCTGCCTGAAGCAATTTATTAAGAAGATCTTAGGATAAGTATTAATGCCTAGTTGCAAGTTGGGGGGCATAAGAAATTATTAAATGTCGTATGAATTAGCCACAGTGCCATGTATGGAAGAGGTGAGAGAAACACTTTTGGGATTCAGTTTTCTCTTCTGCTCTTATGGATACCAGGAATTGAATGAAGGTGGTCAGGCTTGTGCTGCAGGTACTTTGACTGACTGACCATCTTGCCAGTCCAGATTAAACCCTTGCTACCTAAATTTTACAAACAAGAGTTCCTCCTATCCTACATTTCATGACACCCAAATTGTTCAGAATGTTAACTATGCCATTTCAAGTATTATTTAACAGCAATAAATTTTTAACTTAAAATTTGAATAAACTTCTGGTACCCAATATTTGTGGATCTTTTCGATTCTGAAGAAAAGTTATTTAAATATCCTTAATATTCATGGCAACATTCAGAATAGAAAATGAAAACTACATACACATGTGCATAACACTAACTTCTGTTCTATGTACAAGCCCGCACATGCAAACACAATGACGTCTATATAGTCATCATTCTTCCTTAGTAACTACACAAATAACCAACAGTAGCTACCTTTTAAACTACAGTACCTCACAGATGGCAAAGCCCCTGATGGATATATATGAAGGTATAGTGAAAACAACGGTGGGTGGCGCTCTCTGGTTTTTTGTTCTGTTATGTTTATTTGGTGGTGTGAGGCAGTTACTATGGACAGAACCTGGGGCTTTGTACATGCTGGGCAAGCACTCTACGACTAAGCCATACATGCAGATCTCAGATGGTATTTTTGGCCAAATGACAAAACGTGCTACCAACAGTAAAGGACAAATTAACTCTGTGTGCTCCCTGGTCTGATGCAGGGAAAAAGAAAAAAACAATTATCCCCTTGGCATTATTCCTAATCAAACTAAATAACTTTAGAAAAACCAGAAAAACCCTAAACTACCATTTAATAATAACAATAATAAAGCCTGCATGCTTCCAAGATGAAGTCACTAAAGATGAGAAAGACTGGGGACCAGACCTACAAGAAACGCAGTATGTGATCTTGGATAGGCTCTTTGACTTACAATTTGCAAATTCTGAGTCGACTCTACTGATTAGAAGATGTAATCCTATGTTAACCTGATAAATGTACTATTACACAGAAAAGTCTCTTTCTATGGATACTAAAGGTAATAGAAAATCCTGTCATTATTTATAGCTTGTTCAAAGAAAAATACATGTGTATCTAATATATAAATAAAAGAAAGCAAACATGGAAAAGTGCTAACAATCCAAGGAAGCTATGTGCCACAAGCATGTACAGTGGTTTTTATATTTTGTATTTCTTGCAATTTTAAGTTTCAAACTACAAACCTGAAATTGCTTCCCAAAAACTAAAATTAATTCCATTTACAAGTTTAAATAAATTAACTTTCAGCACAACTATCATCCTGGCTAGTTTTTTTTTTCCCCTTTTGTCAACTTGACACAAGATAGATGGACTCTCAGTTAAGAAAATACCCCCATAAGATCTGTCTGGAGGCAAGTGAGAGGCATTGTCTTGATTGATGGTTGATATGGGAGAGTCACTGCTAGCAACGCTACCCTCAGCTGGTAGTCTAGGTGCTCTAAGAAAGCAGGAGGAACAAACACAAGGGGCAAGCCAGTAATTATCAGCCCTCCTCCATGGCCTCCACTTCAGTTCCTGCCAACTTGCCTACATGACTGACTACAAGCTAGAAGATGAAATAAACCCTCTTTCCCCCAAGTTGCTTTGGTCATGGTGTTTCCCCAAACTATTCTAACCCTGATCCCTTCTATCTTCATCCTGGTTCACTTCAGCTTCTCAGCACCTGAGAAGTTAAGCGCCCAAATCTCTCAGGAATCTTACTCCATTTATCACTCCTACTATTCCAGGATAAAAATAGATCCCTGTCACAGAATAGCACTTTTCATCATAAATAACATGTCTGCTTTCGTAGGTGCACCCTTATGTACTTAGGGAAAAGCTTCCTATACTTTTCATTTGGATAGACAGTGCCTCGCTAGGTAGTCCTCACTGGCCTGAAATTTGCTATCCCTATCAATCCAGCCTGAGACTCTGATGTGCCTCCCTCTGCCTTAGGACACTAGAATAAGGTGTGTGCCACCACACTGGACAAACCATCTTTCTATACCTAAATTGTTATATTTCTTTTCAATTATGATGTTTAATTCACTAAATCGTGTACCTTTGTATCAACCTTCCACCTTCTTCTGCAAATGTGAAACAACCCACTTTTCAATGTGAAACTACCCTTTTAATTCTTGGACTCAGTTTATAAAGATGTCATTTAATTACTCTTCCTCTCCCAAGTGGAAGTAGCTGACAAGCATATTTTCTGGAACTGTCTCATCTAGTGCTCCCGTGGTAGTTTTTGTTTCATAAAAGTGGAGAACTTTCCAATTGCCAATCAACCTCCTCCCCTAAACTTTCTAGAAATAGTCGTTACGCATCTTTAGTTCTTTAGAAACACCATGGCTGCTCCTGACAACACAGAGAACAAATGAAACTGATTGGCTGAACTGAAAGGCTTGCATTGTATATCAATCAGTTCATATAAGCAAAGTTCCTAAGCTTTGACTGATTGGTGAAAATTGTAACTGTACCTTAGCATTTGTTAATGCTTGTAATTTTTGTGCTTATAAGCCCCATTTTTGCTCCTGCGTGGTGCTGTCAGGAGAACAAGGCTCCCGAATACTTGTCCTGCAGCTCTAATCAACCAGAGACCTGCTTATTTGGTGAATTATTCAAATCTTTGGAACCTGTAAGCGTTGTCTCTTTCCTTCCTCATGGTTCCTAACAGGCTAGGGGTAAAATCTGCACTACCTTGCCAACCCTTAAACTCCTTGGAACATTTCTCCAAGGAATCATGTGATCCTTTTTTAGGATATCAGTAACCAAGAGGTAGTAAACTAAGTACTCTGGAGGCTGAGGCAAGTAGATCGCTTGAGTTCAAGAGCAGCCTGGACTGCACAGTGAGTTCCAGGACACCCAAAGATATATAGAGACCCTGTCTCAAAACACACACACACACACACACACACACACACACACGCAAACACACACGGAAGGAAGGAAGGAAGGAAGGAAGGAAGGAAGGAAGGAAGACAGGCATCTAAAAAAATTTTCTAAAAAAACAAATCAGAATACAACAAAACAAAACCAAAGAAATAGCGCAAGAAACACAGCTGCAGGGACATTCCCATTCACACACACAGACATTCCATTAAAACACAAAATAGGAAATGACAGAATATAAGCAAAAAATCTGGGGGGCACTAGGCAAAGCATTAAGTTAAATACCATTGTGTTTGTTTTGTGTTGGCTATCTGTTGCTAGACACGGGGCCTGCCCTTAAGTTTGATTTGCATACCCAGAGGAACTCCATTGGAGAAAACCAATTTTTCCTTTGCAAGCAGTTAACAACTGGAGATGGCTTTCTGTGTTAGGAATGGGAACTTCTGTCCACTTACACTCTCAGTACTGAGAACCCCATCTGACTTAAACCAATGCAGGCCCTGTAGCTGCTGCCATGGTCTGAGTTCATATGTGTGTCAATCCTGCTGTGTCTAGAAGGCCTTGTTTCCTTGGTATTTCCCATCCCCACTGATTCTTAAAATCTTTCTGCCTATTCTTCCATCAAGTTTCATGAGACCTGAAGGGAAGTATTTGACAAAGACATCCCATTTAGGACAACATGTTCAAAGTCTCTCACTTTATACACACTGTCCAGTTGTAGGTCTCTGAATTTGTCTCCATCAACCGCAAGAGAAAGCTTGGGTATAGCAGAATGTCATTAGCAGTCATTTTATTGCTACATTCCTTTAGCAGACAGTGGTATCTGGTACCCCCTTGGGTCTAGAACCTATGTAGTCTCAGGTTCTTGGGCAGTGTCAGCATGGTCTCCATCTCATGAAAAAGGACTTCAATCCATTGTGGTTGTTACTTCCACAACTTGTTCGCCACACCACTGCACCAGCACATCCTACAGGCAGGACACTGCTGTAGACTGAACGTTTGTAGCTGGGCTGTGTGCTATCTTTCCCTCTGGTAATATACAGTTACTTTCCAGTACGATGAACTCTAGTCCATAGGGGTGAAGGTTCCAGGTAGGCACCAGCTCAATTTCTCTGTACAATGAGTTATGTAGTTGCTGCCTTCAGCAACAGGGCCTCACCATCAGTTTGTGGAGAAAAATCAACAGCGTTAGAAATCACATTGGTAGTTTGAGGATTTCCATAGGTTCCCTTAGCCAATAACTCAATTAGATGCAACCATTTCCAGCAAAGGTTTCATTTGGCTGCAAGAAATGTCTCGTTGGGGCTTTGTCTCCCCTGCTACATGGTGACATCATTTAGATTTCATTCATAAACAGGTGTTTAAAAGCCTCTACTGTAGTAGTTTTTCATACAGCACCTCAAATGGTCCTTAGTGTAGTTGTCCCTCTTCCATCTCCTTCCTTCCCCCCTCTTCCCTTCCCCACATTTGATTTTCCCATTCTAGTCTTTCCACTTCTTTCTTTAATGTCTTAAAGTTTTTATTATACAAATCTACCATATGTTTGGTTAGTTACCCCCCACAAAAAACTTTTGAGGCTATTGTTAAAGATATTGTGTTTCTGATTTATCTCTCAGTCCTTTTGTCATTTATTTATTGGAAAGCTACTGTTAAGGATGTTCGCTTTTCTTTGCATTTGCTGAAGGTGTTTATCAGCTG